GAAGTGTTCACCAAATGACAGAGTAAGGTGGGTCCGACTCTCAGGATTTTTAATTTTTAATTTTATTTGTTCTTTTTAGATATACATGACAGTAGAATGTATTTTGGCCTCCATGTATATATATACACGGAGCATAACTTATTCTAATTAGGATCTTTTGGGTGTAATGATGCAAAGTTATCTTGGTCATGTATTCAAATACAAGACGAAGAAAGTTATGTTCGATTAATTCTACTCTTTCTTATTCCCCTCCCCTCCCTTTCCTTCATTCCCTTTTGTCTAATCCAATGGACTTCTATTCTTTGCTACCCTTCCCTTGTTATGCATTAGCATCCTCATATCAGAAAGAACATTCAACCTTTGGTTTGGGGGACTGCCTTATTTCACCTAGCTTGATATTCTCTAGTTGCATCCATTTACCAGCAAATGTCATAATTCCATACTTCTTTATGACTGAATAATATTTCATTACGTATATATACCACATTTTCTTTATCCATTCATCTATTGAATGACACCTAGGTTAGTTCTGTAGCTTGGCTTTTGTGAACTGAGCTGCTGTAAATGTTGATGTGACCACATCACTATAGTATGTTGATTTTAAGTCCTTTGAGTAGAAACCAAGGAGGGGATAGCTGGGTCAAATAGTGGTTCCATTCCAAGTGTTCTGAGGAAGCTCCATACTTTCCATAGTGGTTGCACCAATTTGCAGTCCCATCAACAATATATGAGTGAACCTTTCTGCCCACATCCTCTCAACATTCATTGTTACTTGTATTCTTTATAATTGCCATTCTGAGTGGAGTGAGATGGAATCTCAGTGTAGCTTTAAGTTGCATTTCTCTAATTGCTAGAAATGTCTAACATTTTTTCGTATATTTTTTGACTATTCATATTTCCTCTTCTGTGAACTGCTTGAGAGAAAATCCTTACCACCTGTACCTCAGATAGAGCCTTAATCTCCAGGTTATACAAAGAACTCAAACAACTTAACGCCACAAAAACCAAATAACCTGCTCAATAAATGGGCAAAGAAACTGAACTTTTAGGATTTTAAAAAATTATATTCTAAACCTCTGCTATAACTCACATATTCCTTTTTATAAATTCATAAAATACATGGTGTTTTGTGAAATAGAAGGGCTTTTCACTCATCTAAACTAATGGGGCTAAGGCCTATAAAAATTGGTGATCAACCTACATCATTAAGGCAATTGCAGTATTTCTATTATCTCGATTTGCACAATGTCAAAGTATAGTTGTATAATATTTAAAAGTCTTAACATTAATTTGGTGTCAACATACCTTACATATAATCAGAGATATGGTAAATTATTGTATAATGGTGTATTAAGAATTGTAATGCAAAATAAATAAAATAAAAGTCTTAACATGAAATCATTCTAGTAACTGGCAATCACTAGAAAGGTTCCATTTGAAAGGGTCATTTTCTCTTGTTGCTGCGAAGGTTAAATGAGGTAACAGATGTTCAATCTATAGATTTATCACCAATCTTGGAACATAAGTAAATAATCAATGATGTTAGCCATTATTATTTTATGGCCCAGAGAAACCAACATTTTAGCTACATTGAATTCAGATACAAGCAGCAGAAAGGGCTTAAACAACAGTAGTCTAGACAAGTTAAAATCTTTAATGTCAAAGTCCAAATTTTTATTATCTATGCCTGGGACAGTGGCTCTTTTCAAGAGGTTCTTCTTCCAATTTAAATGTAATCTCTTCTATTTATCTTTCCTAGCCTAACTTTCTTCCTAGTAAATGTTTAGTGACTTTCAAAGTGTCGAATTCAAAGAACAATGTCCAAGGACAGAAGCAATTAAGATGATGTGATTAGAGGTGGGAAGAGATAAGAAGTTTACTTAATATAAATCATCAGGATTGAGGTGAGGGGTGAAGTTTCTGAAAACTTGGCAGGTGAGAGGAAAAGAAGAAGTGAATAAAACTCTAAAGTTGGACTGGGGATATAGCTCAGTTGGTAGAGTGCTTGCCTTGCATGCATGAGGCCCTGGATTGAATCCCCAGCACCATCCCCCCCCAAAAAAAAAACCCTCAAAAGTGAATGTGAATTTAAGTGGTCTATTTCTGGATGCACACACATGTTTTAAAAATGGTTGCCTGAGGTAAGATGGGAGGGAGGTTGCTGGAGAGGTCGGCATAGGTATTTGTAGCAGGTTAAGGTCCGGGCCTTTGCTTTTGGTTTGAGTGATAGTTTTTCAGGCACTTACTACTTTGTAAGTTTTTAAAAACGCAGCCACAAGAAAATCTGAGACCAGCTATTATAGAAGTAGCTTCCAAGACTGAGAAAAATATTGGGGGAAAGAGACCAAAGTGGCAGTTGGAACCACAAATAAACTCTTAGAAATAAATTTAATACAAAATATATACTCTAGTTGCTCGCAGTGGTGCACGCCTTGTGATCCCAGCAGCTCCAGAGGCTAAGGCAGGAGGATTGTGGGTTCAGAGCCAGCTTCAGCCACAGTGAGGCACTTAGCAACTCAGGGAGATCCTGTTTCTAGATAAAATACAAAATAGGGCTGGGAGTGTAGCTTAGTAGTGCAGTACCTCTGAGTTCAATTCCTGGTACCAAAAAACCCCCCCAAAACAAGAAAAACAAAGAAATATATACTCTTAGGGTCGAGTCACCGCAGCTTTAGAAATTATGCAATTTGCCTGGATGTCCTAATGTAAAAATAAGGGAAGCAGGTTAGACAATCGAGGATCTCTTTCAGCTTTAACATGCCGGGCCTCTAGATCCTTCCCTGTTGACATCAGTAAAACTTGACTGAAACGTAAGTGTTTCCATGGACTTCCATTGTTCCTAGTAAATAACTTGAAAAATTGTAAGAAATGTGGGGGTAGGAAGGAAGCTTTTGCATTTAAAACCGAATAGAGAAAATTGTTGAAGGCAGTCATCCTTGCATCTGTCTATTTGATTTGGGGAAAATAAAAATCTAAGTGCCTGGGACATGAGATGTCTCCTAATAGCTAATATGACTTGTGGTGCTACATTCTATGTAGCTATTTTATGAATCTATTTCCAAAATTATAATGGAAAGCAAATAATGGAAGCCGGTTAAACCACAGTGGAAAAAAATGATATATTTAGAGCAAAAGAACTACATTTAAACTCCAATGTTGCTGGTTAGCAGCGATTTGATCTTACATGTCAGTTCACTACCCAACAGCAAGCCAGACACATTGGTTGCTCGCCCGTGACTTATGAGGCAGGAAGATCTATCACAAGTTTGAGGCCAGTCTGGGTAATTTAACATGACCCCAACTCACAATAAAAAATAATGCGCGGAGAAGCTCTGTGGTAGAGTGCTGCTGAGTTCAATCCCCAGTATTGCAAAAACAAAAACACAACTACCAAACAGCAGAGACCTGGTCAGGAAAATGAGATAATAATACAATTTTCAGAGGGTTACTATGAACATTTTAAGGAATAATATGATGCAACTTTATGAAATGTTAAATGCTGTATTCTGCAACTGGTTTTATTAGACCCACTGATCTGGATTGTCTAGCACAGAGTTCAGCCCACCGTAGGATACTTTTTAAAAAAAATTATTATTCTTTTATGTTTTAAAGAAAAAAGAAAACCACTGTTACACCAATGCAAAAATTTTAAATCCTTGGTTGTAAGAGTGATCAAAAGAAGTCAACTTGTTCTTTCAAAAGAAGTCAACTTGTTCTTCTTGCTTTCTTGATTTCTGCCAAGAATTCACATACGCCCTGAAGTCTCCGCTGCTCATTCACTTGCAAAAAGCATGGTGAGTCAGGAGGGCAAAACCTTCACTCACCAGCTTGATTGTTCCAGGAAAAGGCCAGTTCTGTTTGGTATTATTCACCAAGACAAAGTTTCTTTTGAAAACTGGTGATGTCTATTCCTTATTTCAGGTGGAAAAAAATAACATTTGCATAAAGCAGGAAATGATTTTCATTTCATTATAAACACTTTAAATCTGTTAGGAACTGAAGTGATAAGAATGCAAACGTAACTCCAGAGCAAGTTACTTAACTTTTATATTTATATAGGAATTTTTGTCACCTTTATTGTCAACAAAGAAACATTGTTTGAATTAATTCATCCATGAACTGCTAATTCTGACCTCTCTCTAGCACAGTATTGGATAAACATTATGAGGCCATTGTTTTGGACTAAGATTCTAAACAGGATTAGAAATCAAAATGAAAGCTGGGAGTGATAGTGCACACCTATGATCCCAGAAGGTTGGGAGTCTCAGGCAGGAGGATTGCAAATTCCAAACCAGCCTCAACAACCAAGTGAGGTCCTAAGCAACTTAAAGAGAACCTGTCTCAAAGTAAAAAGGGCTGGGGATGTGGCTCAGTGGTTAAACTAAGACTGGGCTCAGTTTCTGGTTCCAAAAAATGAGAAGAAGAAAAATGGAATCATTCATGTAAAAGTCAGTAAGCTGAAACTATCCTAACCTTCCTAGAAGTCAGAATTATAGAAGTATTAGGGAAATTTTATAAACAGGCCAGTTTCAACTGGCATGATAATAAAATTCCCTCTGCCTTAAAACTTACACAAAATTAGGTAACCTGAAGTAACCTGATGCTAACCAATTAGTTATTTTCCTAATATTACATCTCACTGTCTCCACCATACAAAGAAATAACTGAAATGTCCAATCTCTTTGTTCTGATTCTGTTTTCTTCAGCCTTTCTCTGTATATGAAACCAACTTCCTTTGCTTGGTTCATGAGAACACTTATTCTATTTTTATGGAATGATGTTTTTCCTCATTCTAGCATAGAAGTTGTCTTTCAATGACTATAAGGCAGGATGCATTTTGCTTATTATTACTTTATTAATATTAGTATTACAGTATCTTTGATTTTAAATGATTGCCTCAGACTCCATCTTGGCATCGTTGGTCAAACCATCAATTTTCTTACTAATGAACCTCTTTGTCATGGAATTTCACAGTTGTTTTTTTTTTTTTTTCTTTCCAGGTATGCTAGAAGCTTCACAAAAATGCTCACTTGATTCTAACAACAGCCTGGATGAGAGTTTTGTTTCTCACTCTGCAGGGCAGGATGATGAGCCTTAGTGAAGCTGAGCCCAGAATCACAAAATAAGTCAGTGGAAGGGCAAGTACTGGTCTCCTGATTTGCTGGATTCTGGATCCTGGACTGAAAGGTCCATGGAGCCATGCCGTATTGGGGTGGTTATTCCATGGCACTCTGCAGAGGGCGTATCGGTTTGTTGTTGTTGGCATTAACAAAAACCAAAGAGACTTTTTGAGTGGTTAACTTACAAAATAGATGGAAGGTGAGGGAGTAAGGTGGGATGAGACCCCTCCCCCCCCAAAAAAAAGACCCAAAGTAAGACTTAGAAACACTTCCAGACATGTAGGCAGCAGGACACATTCTGGGCTTTACATTAGAATGAAGGCTCCAAAAGCTGTTTTCATTGCCTCAATTTAATTTTCTAGTAAAGTCCTAAGAGAGAGATACCTTTGGCTCAACAAAGATTCCTTGGCTAAGGGAAGACAGAGGTCCTGATCATACACAGTGCCATTAAGACTGCTTATAACAGGGTGAAATAATTCCCCAAAGGAAGTAAAGGTGCTCTAAGGCAGGGAAATGGGTGCTGAGATGATGCACCTTACACCCCCCACCAAGTCAACAAAATTCCATATGCAATTGTTCTTCAGGGCATGAACTTCACATAATATTAAGAATACTCTAATTTCACTTAGTAGTCTACTACGGAGCGTTCATACATGTATTTGCTCAGGTGCTTCTCATATTGAGCTATGAATAGACTGGTAAAATTTTCACAAGTAGTTCTTACATAATTACATAATGCAAAATATAGTATTTTTATTTGATGTAAATGACCATGTTTAGGATTCTAAGAAGGTCTATATTCGGAATGTGGTGAAGAGTGCCCTTTTATTCACAGCTGTTGTGATTTACGGAACATGAGCTGTCCTCTCTTGTCCTGGATGTTCTCTCTTGTTTCTGGTCTGTAGCACATCTCACCCAGCTGCAGCAGCATGAGGCATCCTAGTCGCAGTCAGAGCAATAGGGATCCAACCACCCAGGTGGAAACAGGCAGCTTGGCATCCAAAGGGTATGACAAATGCTCTTAGACTTCCAAATAGAATTGGTGGAAACAGCATGATAGAAAATCCAAGAACAGTCTCAGCTGAATTCTACCAAGCCATGAATGAAGCGATGCCAATATTTCTCAAATTATTCCATGAAATAGAAAGGGATGGACCACTTCCAAATTCATTCTATGAAACCAGCATCACACTTATACCAAAACCAGATAAGGATACATCAAAGAAAGAAGACTATAGATCAATATCCCTGATGAACTTAGATGCAAAAATGCTTAATAAAATATTAACAAATCATGTTCAATAACATATTAAGAAGATTGTACACTATGACCACATTAGTTTTACTCCAGAAATGCAAATCAATAAATGCAATTCATGAACTCATATAATCAACTTATGTGATCTATCAGATTAACAGAATTAAGGATAAAAATCTCAATAGATGCAGAGAAGGCCTCTGACAGTACCCATTTGTGACAAAAATACTAAAGAAACTAGGGATAGAAGAACCTACCTCAACATATAAAGGCTGTGTATGAAAAAACTGAAACCAACCTCATGGTAAATGGAGGAAAACTGAAAGCATTTCATTTAAAATCTGGGCCAAGACAAGGAAGTCCACTCTTACCACTCTTATTTATTATAGTGCTAGAAATTCTAGCCAGAGCAACGAGGCAAGAGAAGGAAATAAAAGGGATAAAAATAGGAAAGGAA